ACATTAGGTAGTTGGGGCATTAATTGATAATTATTTGGGATTATTCCTACAAGTACATAATTTGGAACGTGCCATTATATTGCATTGATTAATAGTTGTTTGAGATTTTTCAAATGAGTGATTTGACATGTTAAACTATCTTATTTTTGAAAATGGATTCTTCGAAGTGGAATATGAAGATTTTGGATTAAGCTTGGTTTCGTAACACCCTTATGGGTGTTTATTCTCTAAAATGCAGCTGTCTTTCAAAGTGCCCGTTGCAAATGGCAAGTCAGGATACAACGATGGTACCGGTACACGTTTATATCATTAGTAGGTAGCAGATTGTGTCCATTCTACTATATCATTTAGCTAAATACTTAGTTGTTCTTTTCAACTAAAAATTATGCTTAAATGCTGTGATTGGCCTCAGAAATGTATGTCTTTGCATTAACTGTTAATGATTGTGAGTTTTGGTTTAATGGTGAAAAGTCCATTTATTTAGAAGTCTAAATTGGGCAAACCTATTGGACAATAGGAATGCCATACATTAGTGTCGTGGGAGGTTTGTTTGATGTCTCAGGGTGTTAGATTTTTAAGAAGGTTGTTTGTTGTGGCAGAGAGTCCCTAAAGTTAGCGAAGTATTCCTATGTGGGCTTTTTCTTTGTTTGACTTTTTCTCGCCTTTTTTCTTATCTCTTTTTCTATTTTTGGTTTTTGTGTGCTACCTTCAGTTGCTACGTCTTCATTTGTGAGCCATCTATACTTTTCTTATTCAGTGCCTAAAAATCATATATACTCGATTGCATAGTAGTTACTAATAGATACATTTATACCAATAGAGAGATTTTAAGTTTTATCAGTTGTTAGTTTTAATATTTACTTACATTGGTTGTTTATGTAGTTTTCTTTGTAATATTTCTCATTATACAACTAATTACTATGGCTACGTAGTTGTATAAGTGGAGGTTGGACATGATAGTTCTTAGAAGCATCAATACTTGAAGGTTATTATAATGACCAAATTCTAAAGTTATGGTTTGCCTTCAACTTGCTTGGAGCATTTCAATTATGCATCAATTGTTCTCTCCGTGTAGTTAACTCTCAGACAAATCGAAAATCTTGCTGATATGTGCTTGATTGTAGTTAAATTTAGGGTTCTACTGCATTGTTGTTTTACTCTTTTTTCGTGGTTGAGTTTGCTTCAAAAAATTTAGTTTGATTTTAGAAAATTTTGCTTCTGCAGTCCTGTCTTGCCACCAACGCGTTCAATAGATGGAGACGGGAGAGGCGAAGGCTATTTTTGTGTTGTTGTTGCTGGTTTAGGGATCTGTTTGTGAAGAAGAGGGAGAAGAGAGGGGGAAAGGGAAATGCAGGAGAGGGGGATAACTCTTTTCTCCGACAAAAATGGAGTGAAGAAAGGAATTATGATTAGTAAGAATATGGTTATCTTACATAACGGTCTCTATTCTGTTTGAATTGAGCTTGAGAGGCAGTGATAAGGAAGAGCTGCAACCAATTCATAGTGAGAAGAGAGCTATGAACTGTGATCATGTCTTATTTCAAGTTAGAAGGTAGTTTCAGTATAAGGATTATTTAATTTGACAAGTTGTTTCGTCCATGATTCTTGATAGTTTCAGTGCCATTCTAGCCAATGTTTAGTCTGTAATTTTTGAGAATTGATGTGCGAGTAATGACTTTCACTTAGCTTCAACTATTATGTGTGTATTTATTGGCATGTGATAGAATTCTCTTTTCTTTTTCATTGAATTCATTTTCATACTCTAATTGTATTATTTGTACATAGGCAAATCATGCTCGAGATGGCAACTCGCTGATATGGCTGGTGCAAGGAATGAAGCCATCACTAGAATTCAGACAGACAACGGGGAGGGATGCCCAGGACTAATTCAATGATGATTGATGATGGTATAATAAAAACTGCAGTCTGCATCAGCACCAATTTCTAGGCCTAAGTAAAGGTATTCAACCCAGAACTCTGCTTAGCGCTAAAAATTGCCCTCACCCAACCTTGATCCTGTTTGACCCACTTCTGAAGAGTCAAGATATATGACTAATCCTCCCCGTTCGTATTTTATTATTGACTCTTTCTGACCCTGTAGGTTGGGGCGGGTCGGGAAGAATTGGATTAGTGGGTCGGTCCTAATCAAGTGGAATCCCAATCCCTTCACTCTCACTTGCTTTCTCTCCCATTCCACAAGTGGGTAACATACAATAATCCGGCCAACGGGCCGGGTAATAAGCTAGTATATTATTATGATCTAATGTTTAGTATTTCTGTATAAACTTGTCGATTATGTGTGTTTGGCATCTCTCTTTTTTAGCAAAATCGTTCCGTTCATTGAATCTAATAAGGCGTGCGTAGTTCCCTAGCTATTTAAATATCTACAAATTTAAATCTCTCTAGTTATTTGGACTCAATAATTATCTTTAAAAAGTTTTTTTTTTTATGAATATACAATATATTTATAACAAAATTGTGATCGAACATGCCATCCTAGCTATATTAGATTGTTAAATAGTGGTAGACTGTCGTGGAAGTTGATAGATGATGGTTAATATATTTCTACTTTGTATCATATGTACAACCATCCCGTTGTATGATATATTCCTACTGCTAGTGTCATAGTACAACTTCCATATCACCATGATATAATTTTATGTATTACAAACCTTTATCATCAAGGAATATAGTGATAAAATAAGACTTTTTTTTTTGTTTCTATTTTCATCAATGTGGGTGTCATTTTGAAGTGCATGAATAATCATATTTCTTTATGAAAAAATTTGAATTCTAAATTAAAATAAAAGAGATATAGTCATAGATTTTATGCAAATCTCACAGATATGGACAAAGTACAGGGGAGATCCATGATTCATAATGAACAATTCAATCTTAACCATCAAGACGTGCTTTGAAGTGAAATGGAGAAGTTTTTGCCATAACTCTGAAGTTAAATGTACTCAACGCGCGAAACAGTGCAGTGATGAATGACTTTATGAGAACTCAACGTGATGCATCCAACAAAAATGATGGAGTAGATTCAAAGCCAATAATATCTTCATTAAGGATGAAGGAGTAGATATGTTAGAGGAGCACTTCTACTATTCTATAAAGTATTGGTGCTTTAATGTTCAACTTGAAGTTGTGTCATAACGTTAAATGTATAGTTCAGGTTGTAAAGTTGTATCATCACATAAAAGTACAAGTTCAAGTTGTATCATAAAATAATTGTACAAAATAGTATAAGTACAATTTCAAGTTGTATCATAACGTTAAAAATACAATTTCAAGTTGTACCATAAAAACAAAAATATATAGATATATAACATTGTAAAATTCTTCTAGATGTGTTTGAAACGAAATTGATTCATACCAAAAATTAACATACTAGGTTTGTAAATAACCGGAGAAGTTGGAGGTGATAATTTCATAATAATAATCAAGAAAAGAAATAAAACGCAATAACCCCGTTAGATTTTTATTTATTTATTTGGCAATTATTAATGACAAATTTTGTTAAGTCGGTGACCGCCTCGTGCCGGTGGGGACACAGATAAGCGTCGGGAGAGGAAAAAAAATAACCAAAATAACAACAAACAACTAATAATAATAATAACCGGCCGTTGGTTGAGATGTCAGCGATGTGGCAGGTTTTACAGCCTGGAACTTTGCCAGCTCATCATCAATCATCCCTCGCTCGACACCAGGTTTGTCGTTTTCCCCACGTCAGCCACTCCCTCTCATCCCATGCACGAAAACGGAAAAATCTTTAATTTAATAACTTCCGAAACAGAACAATCAAAATCCATTACGTAAATGCTCTCCAGCCTGGCCTTGCCGCTCCCATCTCCATCTCTATCGGCCGGCCCACCCACCTCCTTTTCTATCTCAGTCACCCATCCGGTCAAAATTAAGATTTTGGCGGTTACTTTGCGGTTGAGCCACTCGAATTAATGTTCAGCTGCATTCTCATCCTCCAACTTATATTTCTAGAGATATCTCGATTTGGTTAAACAGTAATATATTAAGCTGACACGTTAAGGAGAATCTCGCGATTTAACTCACACATTTGTAAGGATAAATACAGCAAAGCAAAAATATGACTCTTTCCTTTGTATTACCCACATCTAGAGAATAGCAGAAACTTAATTGTGTAGAAAGGGTACATCTTTGTTTTCACTTTACCATTATTGACCAAAAATGAATATTATATGGTATATTAAAAAGATAAGTAACCTTATTGTAGTGGTATTGATTTGGTAGTTTTTCTAGAAAATTAGGTTTTGAAATTTTTTGTTAGAGTAGTTGAGAAATAAAAGTTGATTACGTAAAATCTTAACATTCAGGTTGATTTATAGGTCATTCGTTCATCCTATTTAGTATTTACGTTTTGAGTCAGACAGCAAACTATATAATTATGTAATTACAAGAGTTTCAACAGTTTAAATTAGTCAAATCCCACCATCATTTTAAATGTTGTAACTGAAAAAGTTCATTGAGGATTGAAATGTAATTCACCAATTTATTCTCCCAACCGCCATTAACCACTCAACGTATCGCGAGAATTTCCGGGTTTCATAACTACCCGGCGCCTTCCAGAAGAAAGAGTAACTTCCGTAACCGCAACGATAATACTCCCCGTTCTTTCTTTCCTTCCTTTTTCCCTCCCGAGATTTTGGTGACCGGATTACTTTTTCTCGGGCAATCCTAACGCCTACGTGGCGGTTATACAGCTGTATTTCTCTCGTAACCGGTACCAAAAATTGCCGGTCACGTACCACTTATTTAGCCGATTGGTTTACCGGCTTTTGTCGGTTGATTTACCCTAACAATCCCCTATATATAAAGCACTCTTTTCTTCATCGCATCTCTTCTTCATCCCAATTGTGCTGCGGCACAGAGTCTCTCTTAGGTTTCCCCTTTGAACAAAAAAAAAAAAAAAATCTCCCCAAGAAAAAATTTGAATTTCAAATTCATTTACAGTACCTCCGCCGACGATGGACCAAGATTCCGGCATCGATCGGGTGAAAGGCCCCTGGAGCCACGACGAGGACGAGCTCCTGCAGCGGCTCGTGCAGCGTCACGGCGCGCGCAACTGGTCGCTGATCGCGAGGTCGATTCCCGGCAGATCCGGCAAGTCCTGCCGCCTCCGGTGGTGCAACCAGCTCTCGCCGCAGGTGGAGCACCGCCCCTTCACGGCGGAGGAGGACGAGATCATAACGGACGCCCATTCGAGATTCGGGAACAAGTGGGCCACAATCGCCCGCCTCCTCAGCGGGCGGACCGACAACGCCGTCAAGAACCACTGGAACTCGACGCTCAAGAGGAAACACTCCGCCGCCTTCTCCGACGACGAGCGCGAGCATCAGCCGGAGAGGAAGCCGGCCGGAGGTCAAACCGTGTCGTCCCGTGAAATTAGTCCGTCGCAATCCGGATCTGACGTCAGCGACGCTGGCGTCCCGATGGTGGCGGCGCCACTCCAGTTCGCGCGTCCGCCTCCTTCGATTGATAATGAAGCCGAAGTTTCTACGGAACTGACTTTGTCTCTGCCGGTGAAGAAATCGGGGGGATTTTTGCCAATGCAGGGATGCGGCGGGGAGGAGGTGTCGACCAAGAAATCTGGTTTCGAGACGGCGTCGTTTGGGGAAGGGATGCGGGCTGTGCTTCAAGAGATGATAAAGAAGGAAGTGAGGAATTACATTGACGGGAAAGAAGGGGAGGGGATTAGAAATGCCTTGTTTGAGCGAATTCAAGTCGGCAATTTAATTTGATTTCATTTAGTTTAATCGAGTTTTCTTAATCATCTCCGATGAATTTTGTTTTGGCCGTGTACAAAAATTAGAAGGGAAAAATGTAAAAGACGAGGAGGAAAAAAAGTGATAATTTATTTTCTTTCTTTATTTATTTATTTATTATCACACAGGAAAACAGTGAACAAACAACTGGATGCACAGCTGTGGTGTTAATTTAGTTTATTTATGTGTCTAGTGATTAGTGAACCGTAATTCTTTTTATTTATTTTGCTTTTATTCAGTGTGATATGAATTATGATAGTACTGACTAGGGGTGATAATCGGTTGGCGGTTATCTGGTTTGACCGACCACCGAACCGCAACCGGTGCTTATTCACCGAAACCGACAACCGAAAACTGATGTCGGTGTCGGTTGGAGATTTCAGGCGAATTTGATAACCGGACACCGACAGTGATTAACCGACAATAACTCGGTCAACCGTAAATAACCGCGGAGAACCTCGTCGCCACAGGCATAACCCCTCTGCCCTTGCTCGCTACCACCACCAGAGCTTTGCTCTGCCCCCAGCCCCATCCAGATGCTTCTCAACCCTCAACCAGACTTCACCGCCCCACCTCCTCCTTCCGAGCTCGACCTCGTCGTCCCAATCTCCCTAATCCCGACCTCGACGCCCCAACCAAACACGCACCACCACCAAAATCACAACTCTCATCCAAAACCCTCTATGCATACAAATAGATCCAAATCCCTCCAGACATGCAACGAACCCTAACCCCCAAATCCCCAAATCCCTCCATACATGTAACGAAGCCTAACCCCCAAATCCCCAGATGGAAGATTGAATCAACGACGGCAAAAGAATCGGAGATGAAATCCGGGTAGGCTTCTGGTCGATCATCCTCCCGCCTTACTCATCCTCTCTTAGCATCGTTCGCCGTTTGGTTGTTCCTTCCTTTGCCTGTTTCCGCCGCATCGCCGCCCAGCCTTCCGCATACTCGATCGGTGGACACCATGAAGAAGCTTCCGAGTAGGCAGAGAAGAAGCAAAAGATAAAAGATTGAAAGTTTTTTCATTTGATTTATAGAGAAAAAGAAGATTGAGAAGAAGAAAAGAGAGGGGATTTTAGGTAGCAGAGTGAGAGATGGGGAACAGAGAAGACGGAAGAGAGAGGGGTGCAAATTTGGTACAATTAAATATTAATTCCCCTTCCCTTTTGTTTAAGGCTTGATATTGCGGTCTCTCGATTACTCGTTCAATCGAACCGATTATCTGCGGTTGCGGTTAACCGATCAGAATAATCGGTGCGGTTGGTCATTTGGGCACTTTTCGGTAACCGATTAACCGAAAAATCGGTTTGGTTTAACCGCAACCGAACCGACTATCACCCCTAGTACTGACTACTGAGGAAAGAGCCTCGGATGGATAGTACGGCCTGTGTGTGGGGCACAAAGGGATACACCTACACCTACATTTGATCGTGGGGAAAGGAAGGTTGTGCTTGTGAATCGATAATCTATTCAGTTTAATGTTCGTCGTCGATGAAGGATGACTTCAATACTACGTAGCAAGTCTTGCTAGGATCTCCAATCCATGACCATGTTGATTGTAAAAGCGAAGAGCCTTCACCAAAAGCCTTACTGTCAGAATTAGGGTCGGAAGTATGTATCGGTATTTGGGATATACTGAATACCGTACCGAATTTGTCTATATTTGGTATTACCGAATACACGTATTATTTTTTGGTATTGAGATTGAATTTCAATTGTTATTCGGTATTAGGGATTACAGGATTTGGATCAGTATATACCAAAATACCGGACAATACCGAAATATAAGTTAGTGTGTATTTTATCCTCTCAACTAGACTCTCTCATTCACTACTACACGACCCTCAACCACCAATCTATTGTTATTTTCATAACACCAAAAAGAAAACACTAGTATTAGTCTTCTCTCAGCCTCCAATTCGTCAAATTAAAGATTACCAATGACAAAAACTTGAGAAGTCACCTCCCCTCCATTCTCCTTATCCATATCCTGGCTTTAGTCAAACTCAAGACTCTTTGCTTAATTAGTCTCTTTGTTCTATATTAAACAATCAAATCTAATTTATATATTTAATTATTAATTGTAAAGGTAATTAATTTCGTATTCGACAATACCGATTGGGATACTGAAGTACCCATTGGGATACCGAAATATTTAGGAATTGGGATACCGAAATTATTTAGGGATTGTGATTGAGATTGATTTTATGGTGTAATTCGACATTTGAGATTTCGGTATTTGGTATTAGGATACCGTACCGATTTCCACCCCTAGTCAAAATGCAACACACATAAAAAATTGTATTCTTGAGCAATTTAGTAATTCCAATCCTTTCAACACAGCATTTGCTTACGCTTTAGTGATGAAGAACGAACTCTAGTTCCACTCGAACATAACAAATTTATCTGTGATTGTTAGTGAGAATGATATTATGTGTTGCCCACCGGCGAAAATCATGTAAAAACCACTCATCACAATGAAACTACAAAATATATAAACGCAAAACATGGGTTGGAATTCTTACATTTCAAATTTCGTGGTCTGGAGTGATTCTAGGAAGGTTATTTTTGTTATTGTACCCAGTTCATGTTTATATATTAAAAATGTTATTATTGGAGTTCGAACCTTGGTCACTTAAATAAATGAATAAAGAGCATTGTAACCAACTAGACTATATTTTATTTATTTTTATTTCTTTGATTAAACTCTAGGAATATGTTTGGTGATGCTTCTATATTTATATTTTATCTAAAGTTATTTATATTTTATAGAAAGATATTAGTTCTGAAATCAAAACGCAGTAGTTATGATTCAAACATTAATATTAAATTGTATGTTTAGTTTAGTTTAGACAAAATACAGAAATGTAACCAAAACATGGACCTTTGTGACGAGTATAATCTTTTTTTGTGACAAATCTACACATAATATAATGATAAAATTGGAAAACGAGAGTCTCATTTCAAATTTCGTGGTCTAAGAGTGATTCTAGAAAACTCTTTTTCGTCATAGTGTCCAATTTATCTTTATATTATGTATAGATTTGTGACAAAAAAATCACTATATTTGTCACAAAGATCCATGTCATGGCTACACATATGTATTTTGTCTAAACTGAATCACACATACAATTTATTATTTAATGTTTGATCAATGTTACTTGAGTTCCGATTTCACAATTAATCACTTTCTATGAGATATAATAATTTTCAGGTAAAATATCTTTCCTATTTGATTGAAGAAGCTCGTTTTATAAGATATATTCAATGTTTTAAGATTTTCTATTTCAAATTTTGTGAGCGAGAGTGAAAGTAGGAAGAATATTTTTGTCATCGCAATTATTATCTACTTCATATGAAAAATATCAATATTAAGATTTGAACCATGCTCTTTTCAAACAAAAACAATAATCACAACCAATTACAGTAAATAAATTTGTTTTATCTTCTTGAATTGTAAACATGCACTGAGCGAAAATTTGAATAACAGAGGACTTTTCACGGTTAGCTAGTCTATTAAATCTTATGAACAAGCAAAGTTTAATACATGATTTATAATTTTTATAACCTATAAAATGACGAGTAATCTTAAAATTACAACACAAATTTCATTGCTTGAAATATTGTATATCGAAATACAGTATTGAATATGCAAAAGCGATATAGAATTCTTTAAATTAATATAAATTTTCAGAACTAATACTAAACAATAATATTTTGTACAAACTATAGGTGATTGGTTCTCTAAAATTTTAGCATGGTTAATGGCTAAACGTTAAACTCTTGCTAATCGGGCATGCATGGACTCGACAATAATGAGACGATATCGAGTTTAATGTGATGTTCATTTCTTCAGTTTTGGATCGGATGTGTTGATCAATTTATAGGATATTAGCATATAAATGAGTTATAATTAACCTCATTATACCATTTTTACTATTTATAATAATTAATTTAATCTCCATATTTGTGATGTTTGAAATATTTTATGTATGATTTAGAAGTATAATTATTATTTGTGACATTAGTTGTAGTTTATTCAAATGTAGTATTTCATCAGGTAGTCAAAATATAATACTGGGTGCATTTATGACTGTTGTTATCTTGGTGTAGTGAATAGGTAGAAACTTAATTATTATAATGCATATAACTATACATAGGCTCATGGTTGATCTAGCACGACAGAATTAGAGCATACCTTGAAAACAAAGTATATGGACCGGCCATGTACAAGCATTAATGCTTCATGGGTCGTACCGGACTTAAACTTCAAGGGCTCGCGCACAAGTGCGACCACCGCACAGTATTTATTGGTAACTCATGTTTTATGGATAAATGTGTTATTTGATAAAAATAAAAATAAAATATCCTAAAAATAACATATAAAATTGGAATGATTGAGTAGTTTCTCGCATCAACGTGTGACGGCTCATATTCTAAAAGTTTTTTAAAATACATTTATTGTTTATTTTGAGACTCAAACCTTTTTCAATGCATACAACTAAAAATTCTTTTATAAAATCATTCTTGATTAACTTCATAGTTGAAAAATATTTTTTTACAGCTTGCAGTAATAACAAACAACATCAACAATCACTTCAGAAGCAAGTAAAGTGAAGAAGAGATTGAGATTTAGTATTTCTTTTCAAATGTGTGAGAGGGGAAGACATTTTTTTTTGTCTAAACAATTTGAGGAAGGGTTGAAACTCATATATAATTTGTTTGAATATTGCATATTGAATTGGAGTATGGAACATTTTGGAAGCGATATATAATTCTTAAATTAGTATTAATTTTCAGCCAAGTTAACCAATAGCCTTAGACCTTTTGCTAATTTGACATGGATCCAATAATCATAAGATGAGATTTAGTTTGATATGACGTCGGTTCAAAATCATTTTTTATGTGTAATGAATTTGTACGACAAATATATTTAAAGTGAAGATGAACCTGGTTATGCATTTTGATTC